TCACATTTAATATAAATTTATGCCTAATAGAAGCTTTCTTCGAAATTTTTTTTATTAAATATTTGTTTAAAGGACAAGTAAAAAAGATTCCATTGTGCAGAGTAATTATAATTTTAAAATATTAATATTTTATCATGGATATTACCTTGTAGATATAATTTAGATATATTTATACATATATATTTTATAAATTAATATTCTACAGCTTCGCTGCTACGCGTCATACCGGTGAGTACTTTGTATGGTATATAAATTTTATACACACACACACATAATTAATTATAATCATTTGTGCAGGTTTTTATATAATATTAGCGAATTTTAAATTCTCATGTTATGAATGTTCGGAACGAATAATAAAGCATCCCTCTGTCGATTTTCAGTTTGAAAATCGGTGTCTCGCTTTTCACGTGGGGTTCCGATCCAAGTTCGCACGGGGTTAATGAGAGGTTAGATATAACTTGCTATTCTGTGCCATAATGCGACACCGGCGTCCGTTTAATTTAAGTATATCCCGTGCATGAGATTTCAATGGGGGTGTGTCATGCGTCGCCCTTCAGCCTCTATAACGGCAAGGCAGTAACGTCATGGGAAAAACAAAATATTATAGTAGCTGAGAGTATTTTCACTTGTAAAGCAATGTGATACGCAATACGATGCCTACGCGTATTGATTGAATAATAATAACGTTAAGAATTTTATAATAATCAAATTTGTTTGACAATTATATGTAATAAAGAAAAATACAAGTTAAATTAATTTCTACTTATGTACATGTACACGCAACTTTATACGTGTAATAGATAAAAACGTAGATTTGATAAATGTATTAATTTTCTTTCAAAATCTTTGCCGCAAAAAAAAACAGATAGATAAAAATATTTTGGCATTCGAACAATTCCCCTCAGAAAGTTTTATCATTGTAAAACATTCCCCGCTGAATTCGCCAAGGTTCTCAAAGACTCATGAGAGCATCTCTCGAGGAAGCCTACGTCTGAATCGCGAGACATCCGGAGCAGGGTATACATGGATATGTCAGGCGTCAGTGCCCTTACGAGGTACTAAGCCGCTTAGCACTATGGGGTTTATGTTGTGCCCGACGGGGTATCTACTAACTCCATAGAACTTATATATATATAGGGGCCCACATCCCGCCTACCGCGCATTATCTTATCCCCCATCCATACCCATGCTTCCATCACGACGTTCGGCAGAATCCGGCGAAATGTCAGAATCTCCGACAGTCTTGACACCCCAGATTGCGACGAAATTGCATTTGCAGAATCGCGACTGTTTGGCAATTTGGTCAGCGAGTAAAATAAACGATATAATGATGACGATCAATTATTATCGCGAAACAAATTAAATCGTTATCGTAATATATGTATATGTATCGTAATATACCTATGTATATTGAAAAGATAAACGTACGAAAATTATAGAATCAATCTTAAACATGTAACAAAAATGTAACATCGAATCGCATTCGAATATTTTAAAGACATATGCTGAAATTATATATATTATACATATATAATGATATGAAGTTTTCGATATTTAGAATATAAAATATCATTACAAGAAAAATTTAATTTTTATTTAACAATCTGTAAACGGAAAAAGTTAATTATTTATAAAAAGAACGAGAAATAAAAAAATTATTTATACAAATATTACAAGCTCGTGCTATATATTTTTTCAATTGATTTCGATATCTTTTATTTCTCATACAAATTTCGGCCGATAACGGCAATGAATAAAAATCGGTTTAAGCTTATTGCCATTGTTAGTGCAATTTGTACACAAAACAGTTTCTCTCACCACTCCCCATCTAGAGAAGCCCGCTCTTAGCGACGTGCTAGAAAACACTGGGAGGAACTTTCTGACGAAGAGGGTATTACGCAAAACTGTATCGGCTTTTCCGTGTTTTGATTTCGTAGGGGTGACGAGAGGAGGAAGCGAGGGGAAGTGAAGAGAAGAGAGGGAGGTGTTACCCGATAGAACGGGAACGCCGGGAACGAGGAGGACAGATACTTAGCCGAGGACTAACAGCAGGCCGCGGATTAAAGGGGGCGAAATGTTATTATTGCAAGGGGTACGTCTGCGCCCCCGTGAGTACTAAGTAGCCCGGTTAAGTATGTTGTTTAAGCCAACACTGTAAGTAACCATCCCCGGAGAAATTGCCGTCACAGGCATTGCGACAAAGTACAAATTCCGCGCCGCGTCGATGGAAAATACTTTGCGCGAAGTGCCGCCTCGGCCAGATGGGCTCTCGTCTAATGCCCACGAGTTTTCAACGCGATAGAAAATCGAAGCTCCGCGCGTTATGATATGAATGACGGCACCAAAGTGTCGCGAAACTTCGTGGACTCGTCGAAAGTGGGTTATAACGGGTTTGTTATTCAACCGTGACTGGAGTATTAATATAACGGGGGATCAACAAGAGAATTTATATAAAACTGAATTATATAGAATAAATTTCCAGAAAAAACTTCAAGCGAAAGTAATAAAATATTCAATTATATAATTTAATCAAATATATACTGCGATAAATAAAAAAAAATATACGATAGCTTAAAAGATTTCGTAGCAAAAAATATAAAAAAATTATTAATGCATGATACGTTAAACATATACGAAAATGTTCTACGAGAAAATTCCGCTCCTAGTTTGTGAAGGTAAAAATAATCTCGATGAAGCGAAGCGATTTTTTACAAATATCCGTGCAGTAAATTATCCTTATTTTTGATTCAGCAAATTTCAATCTATACGAGAGGTGGCCGCGCGCGAATTCAGCGAATAATTTTGTCGGGTAATTGCAGTTTCTAAAACGAGGAGTCCCTTTGTGCGACGAAGGAATGACAAATGCACTTCCTTGAGCCGAGATTAAAATACGATATTGCCGCTATTAGGCCCCGGGTTTTGAGCCTTTGCTCGCGATAGAACGGTAACAGACGTATAATTTCCTGGAAGCTTTGAATTGAACGGCTCTCTCGCTCCGCCGGGGCGAGTGAGACGAGTGTAACCGGCTTTCTCAAAGCTTTGAGGGTGAGGAAGCTCATTAACGAGAGCTTTCTGTTCCTTCGTTTCGATCCGACGTACACCTTCCATCTACTACCCGATATCCTTTACGAGGTTCTGAAACTCGAACTACCCCTGCCCTGCTTTTATACTGACGGCAAACCGAATTCCTTACTTATGCAAATGCGAATTCGTTGATGGTTGTAAGCCATCTTTTTGCCAAATTGTTGACGCGACACGCGAAATGTATCTCGAGATAAGAATTGTTGAAAAGCACATTTGTCTATATAGAATGTGAAACAAAAATTGTATATAAATTGGCACGCGATGTAGACTAATTAAAAACATATTTATTTATTCGAAATTTTATTACGTACAATCTGTACATAAAATAATAATTAACGCGACGAATAATGTGTACGTGTAATGAAATACTTGGAGAGAAAATTATATTCTATTTCTTACGTAATTGATAATGACTTTATATTACTTTTCTAAGTATTCATAAAAGGATCTGTTAAGTCATAGACATTGAAGCTGCTACGATTGCGGCTGCTTTTAATGATACTTTCTCAAGTGATTTGTAATACTAGTATACGGGCGCGTCAGAGGTAATTATTCCTCCTCGTTACGATCAAGTGAATTCAATTAATCGTCAGCGAGCCGCTCCTGGTGTTTGTATATTACGCTGCGAGGCTCGTTCTCATCAAATTCCCATGAATAACCAGCTTGTAGTCTATACAATAATCAACACCGCTAATTTCTCACCGCGGTTATCCGAATTTCGCATAACAACGGAATTTCGAATCACAGCTTGTTTCGCGAAGAGATTTGTGTGTGTGATATAAAATCGTTAAAGAGATCAACTTTACTCAAATGTCGTAATTAAAATGGGAAGACGGAATAAATATTTCGCGCGCGCGTATTAATTTTATCGTAATTATATTTTATATTAATTATTTAGTAAGCGCATGCAAGAGGCAGCAACGCAAATATTAGTGATAATTCATCCTTTGTATATTTACGGATTCGAATGGTGCCAATCACCATCGTCGTTGTTATGTCACAAAAAATAATTTAAGAAACGCGTTAATTCAATGGAACACTGCGGTGGCAAATAATATAAAAGCCGTCACTCTACATTCAACTCGCTACGGTCGGGGAACATCGCGTCTCACAATTCTCCCCCTTCCTTCACCCTCGCGAATGAAAGTGGAAGAAACTAAGTATTCCATCTTGACTTAAATACAACTCGCGAGATGAGGCTAATGCAACCGCGAAATAAAGGGCGTGGTTTTAATGCGCAGCCGGGGATTGGCTGTTGAACTTGGCTACCCGGTCGATACTGGCCGACTATATCTCTGCCCGACCTGTATACTTGATACTTATCCGGCAGGAATATATATATATATATATATATACCTCAAACTCTATCTCGCTTTCGTACACCGTCGGCGAAGGAGGATGTTTGCACGGATCGAATGCGCCAAGATTCTTCAAGTAGAATCATCGCACTGAGGTTCGGAAAGGAAGCTGCACGATAAACATTCTTCGCGTGACGTTAAAATAAATCTTTACGACAAATAGCGCAAGAATAATTTAATCAAACAATATTTATCAATAAATAAGACGCGACATTTTAGTCTGTAATTAGCTATTCAAAGAAACTTGCTGCAACTTGCACGTTTTATCCTACGTACATGTTATCGTAAACAGATACTTGAAGATTATTTATGTTCAAAGTCGCTTTATGGTTTGTTTGTGCCACCTTGTCAAATATTCATAAATTTCAACTATGGTATTACGCTGACACGCCGTTAATAGCGAGCCCGAGTGTTCCTTGTTATTCATAGATCTTTGGTCAAAGCGTTAAACTCTCGTCATCAGTATAGTAATTGCATCGCGTGCCATCAGTGTATTAATTACGAGCGCGTTACGTCGCGCACAAATAAAGTCATTTTGGCGAAGTACGTACTCACCGCAAAGAAACGTCCGTGTTCCTCCAAGTTTGACGAGCTCTGCGCCTTGATCCATCTCGACGCCCTTATTCCCTTGTCCTTAACGCGACATTAATCGCGCGCGATTAAAATCTTCCTAATGACGCCTCGACTTCCGCGATATCCATCGCAGATAGATCGCTCCGATAATCTGCAATTTGCACCAAAATGCACGGATTACATTCTAATTCGCAGCATTAATAGCATATGTCAAATATTCGACATAATGCAACATTTACGTGCGTCATTAAACCTTTGCGTATCACTTTATTATCCGTAAACGCGCAATTAAAATCATTTTCGGTGCAATGTGCCATAAGAAATCTAGCCCTTACACAGTCATATATTATTAATCAGTATAATTAAATTCATATATAGTATCACGAATTATAAGCCAGCTTTGCATATTTTACAATATTGCAATATTAATATTTACATATAGTATATACGAATATTTAATACAACTATCTCTATAACATTAATCCAAACAATTCTGCTAATAAATTAACTTAAGTTTCCGCGATCCAATACTCGCGATAAATTTTAGTTCGCCAATCGAGTCCGAGATACGTATACCTATAAATCACCTTTATAAATGTCCGTATCGTTTGCGACTCGGCTACCGGAAAACTTATATCGCCGCGCGCAAAGGCGACCAGGTTAGTATAATAACGCGATACTCATAATAAACGCGCGACCGGTGTCCTCTCTCATTGAGGGCAACAATGCCCCATGGTAGATGAGTTAATCGGTAAGTTCCTCCCCGATGTGCGCGCACTATCGGAGTCGGGATGGCTGTTGCGCGACCTATTATATACGCCGTCATTCGTCGATGACGGTGACGATGTCGAGCCGGGGAGTTTACACGGCGAACCCTGAAACAGGATATAGGAAAGACGGTATCGGGGAACAAAAGGATGACTGACATCTCCGGTGATCCTGATCGGGTGTTTGCGCAGTGGCTCTCCCACGATCGCTGTATATATTTCGATCGAAATGTCCGCGACAGACGTATCGGCGGAGTAACTTGAAAGCACAAGCGATCATTCGATCCTATATACATCTGTCGAATCACGTTAGATATATAGCGTTAAATATATAATAAGGAAAAAAATATTACATGATATTCTCATGAAAATTTTACGAGCTGTTTTAGATATTATATACCTACATGGAGAGAATTTTTTATCTTAAAATTTACCATGAAAATTATGATAATCGTGAGATGATACTGTATTGGAAAAATTTTATAAGAGTTTCTCTGATTAATTTATAAATATTTACCACAATGAAAAATATATTAATACGTACATTACTATATGTTTACCTATAGTAAAATTAATCAAACATATTTTTTATATCTTATTGTGATAGATATTAATATCTTTATTGTGATAAATATTGAAACTCAGATGAGAAACTCTCTTATAAAATTCTTCCAATACTATATTGTCGCACGATTACTATATGATTTTCAGGATAAATTCTAAGAGAAATTTCTCTCTGTGTATAAAAAAATATATAAAAATTCTGTCACTTTTATACTTTTCAAATCCAGTCTTTCTACTTGTATCAATCCCTGTATCACGCTGTATTGATTATCGATACGTCTAAGCGATTTTTGCAGCGTAAAAAGACAACGTATACGCGAAACTACAATCTGAGAGAGAAATCGCCACGAGGAATACAATACTCAGAGAGCTCCGGTAATCTTCATCAACGGTAGACAGAGATTCTCAATAATGAAGATTCTCAGAGATAAAGTCCGAGCGATATATTTAAAAAAAGCGAATCGTCGAAAGAACGAACGAATGAGAACTACTGATCAAGGGCGAATAATTCATCAGAGAGGATGCTGAGGCTGACGGCCGGCTACGCGTCCGCCTTCTCTCTTCTCTCTTCTTTGAAACTCTCTATCGGTTTCTCTCTCGTCCCGTCTCTGTCCGGCGCGTTACGTTCTTCTTGAATTCCTATTCTATGATGGGCAACGGGGTCAAACCGCAGCCTCCGCTTGTTAATTCGTCGCTTCTTCGGCTTTTGTTCTGACGCGCTAAAAGCATCTGTCGGTCGTGCCTCCGTTAAATGTGCAACGCGATGAAAAGAGCTTGCGTCATATGTATTATTGTTAATAATGAACTCTGGTATCAATTACCGCGCAATGAAAATTGATCAACAGTAATCGCATCGTTATCGGCGCGAGCGCGCGCCAATTGGTTAAATGTATTCCGATGATATATTGTTAAATCGATTCCCCCTTAAGTCTATCTTGTTCGACATTGCTATTTATATGGCTAATTATTCATGGAATTGATATGACAGTTCAAATTTTTTAACCCATTATTATTATTATTTAGATCAACAGCACTAAACGTGAAATAAGAAATGCTATAATTTATATATTTTCTATATTCACAAAAATCTAAACATAGATATGTTGAAAGATAAATTGTAATAAAAAAAAATATTGTTTTTTGTTACGTTATTAAAATATAGGCTCTATTATAAATTTATAACTTTTATAATTAGAAATGTGTATTCGTAGAAATTTCACAAACGTTATAGATGTATATATATCTATAGATATAAAAATAATGCAAGAAAAATAAGATTAATTATGAAGAAAATAATTTTCTTTTTTCCATTACGCTATTGAAGTGTACTTGATGGACAAATATTTGTATCTCTCTAATTGATATTACTCAATTATCATACGGTATCTATTACCACATTTTTACAACCGTAATAATATAAGCGATGGATAGGTTCACCGTAGTATTATTAGCATGACCCGCGAGATATTCATAAATAAATTTAATAATACCGACACAATAAGCACTCATCAATGCATCTCTTCGCATAGAGCTTCTATATATGCATAAAGCAGGCGGAGGAGGAGAAGAAATAAAGCTATATTAAGAAATGATTGATAAACAGGCTGACCTACATTTGCGTATAAACGTGAAGAGTGTTATAGGCAAGTCCTTGACGCATGCACTTCATGCGGATAATTACGCGCGGAAGGCACGTGCCTTCTGATCCGTGGATTTGAGACTACGTGAGAAAGGGGTCTCACACACGCACACACACACACACACACATATACACGCAAACATACGCACGCCTACAGAAAGCCCCTCGTGTTTTTTCGGGGTGTTAAATTGCCCGATCGCGTGAACGAGAGCACGTCTACATACGTGATGAGATTAAAACAGGCTCTTATGCGGTTATTTCCTTAGACACGTATGTGTCTCGTATCTATTAACAATCATAAATTGCATTCTTCTCGTACTTGCACTCGTTCTTATATGTATCAATTATTCTTAATATACATTAAATTGTAATGTCGCGGACATTAATTAATGAATCCTGGGTATTATATTATTTTGAAGAATATATAACTCTATTATAATTTCTGTTGAATATCTCATCTTTGCAATTTGTCGTTTTTATACTCTTTGGATTATCATTTTTCTCGATGTTCATTCGCGGTTCATTAGGCGCACGTTATTTCCGAGCACTCGATTTCAAATCGGATAATCAAACGCAGAGAGGCTCGGCGAGCGAGTACCGTAGAAATTCATCTCCAAATTAAGTAGCTAATCAATTACGCTCGTCCCCTGAACGATCGGACACGGTCGCGGCAGCGCTTCGACGACGAAAAGAAGAGCAGCCGAGCCGAGCCGAGCCGCGCAAATTGCTTCATCTCGCACGAAGAAGTCGAGCATTTGGCTCTCTGGCACCGAGTCTCTCTCTCTCTCTCTCGTCAATATTAAGTCGGGGCGCGATCAGGTGCGGCGTCCTGACGATTTCATCAACAGGCACGTCCGCGCCGGGATCATCATACTTTGTAACCGCGCGGCAAAAAGCAACTGCCCCGCGCCGGGACACGCCAGGAAATATATGCCTGTAATACAGCGTGGATTCGCAGCGCGACCGTGCGCACAACGGGTGACGTATGATGATAGTGTGGCCCAAGAGAGAATCAAGATGGCCGTAATAATATCATTATCCCAGTGGTCTCCATCGGCCGTTCGGGGCCCCGAGTGAGACATTTACCGTAACGACCGGCCATCCGTTATCGAGCCCCGGCGTGCCTAAGCTTATATATACGTCGTGGCTCGGCGATACCGACAAAACGCACGACCGAAGATGGCAGGATATCCCTGATGCCACGATCCGCTTCAGTTCGCGAATGCCTTTTACGGTGTCTTCTGATGAGATTTCGTCTTTGATTACATATGCGCGCATCTGCTCTTTCAATTTTTAAATTAATGCATATATATGCATCTCTCTCTCTCCCTCTCTTATTATATTAGAATTTCATAATTTACTGTAATTTTTTTATTGCCATAATATGGGTCAATAACTTGTTGCTAATGCGAGAATGAATTTTTTATATAGTGTACCGGGAGAGATACAAATATTTCCTTCTAATCCTTAATGATACCTGGCAATTTATGATTGCGCACGACTAGATACCGAGCAATCGTTTTAACCTAGCAACAAGCCGAGCATCCAACATCGGTTCGCTTAACTTAACCACGCTTCATACGTTTTCCACGCGCACTCTGCCGTCAGTTTTTCTGAAGACCCATAAAGCCTCTATCACCATCATCATTATCGCCATTATTGCGCATCCACTGACTCGCATCCGAGAGAGCCGTGGCTCCTTGCGAGTTCCTTTACCCTAAAGAGAAATGTGGTTACCGCAGCCGATAGCAGAGAACACGGCAGAAGCATCAACGAGCGGCATTTGTTTTGCGAATTTCACGGTACGAGCTGCATTCGTCTCGACGACAACGATCATCCCGTCACCGCGTCTCAGACGTGGAAGGTGGACTTTAACACGACCGCGTTGCCGGTGCACAGCTTCATTAAGAGTTTCCAAGTTGGTGGTGCTGATGATATATATCGACGATATCTCAGGAAAGACGGGGGAAGGGGTGGTGAAAAAAAAAACGCATAGAGAAAGAGAGGGAGAGGGAGAGAGAGAGAGAGAGAGAGAGAACAAAAAAATTGGTAATGACGTCAGCGTCCGAGGGCAGCTGCCTCGGTTATTAATTAAGAGTGCGGACGGACAAGGCGGCGAAGGCGATCGTGGAACCTGAAATTCGCCCAGGGGACCACGGGAAATTAATCGCGCACGATGGA